ATTCGTCAACAATAAAGCTTAAACTCGCAATAATATAGTTGGTATTTAGCAATATATGCATTTTCGGAGATACAGTGGAGTAATGGATAGCGGCTCGGATTGAGGAATCGGAGAGCCGAGTTCGAATTCCAGTCGAATCCACTGCATTCACTTACGTGCTGATACCATTGGGAAAGATATGAATCCTCTTCTTCTCAATAGCAGACAGACTGGGTCCTATAGACTTGTTCTACCACACAAAAGAAATGGCAGCCTACTGCGGGAAAAAACCTGCCTCGTCAGTCATGTATGGAAAAATACATGATCGCCTAAGCGTGTATCACGTATGACACATAACTGACTGATTCAATCTATAACTATTATGGAGTATTTTATAACTAAATACAATACCCCAAATATACAAAGGGATAAAATTCCACTTATAGGCGTTAGAAAGCGATGGCTGTGAGTCACTCGTTTCGAATGAATCCTCTTCTTTGGGTAAATAGCAGGACAGACCGGGTTCTATAGCCTTAGATTACAACTGATCTACCGCAGAAAGAAATGGCAACCTACTGCGGGTAAAAATCTACCTCGTCAGTCATGTATACAATCATGTATCGAAAGATACATGATTATCTAATCGTGTATCACATATGGCACATAATAACTGACTGATATATTTAGACTTTAATTGTACAGGTTTATTCTCCCTAATCCGAAATCATTGGGGTTAACTGTGATTCGATTTTTAGAACTCTTCGGATTATAGAATAACTATGAACAGGACAACAAAAAAAAAAAGAAAAGAAAAGAAATAAAACAAAAACATGACTGACACAAAATAACACTATACATTATGGAAAAATATACTAATAAATAATGTCGTATCGGAATTATTATATTCCATAAATACATGCAGTAGGAAATTTTATTTTTAAAAGGACATTAAAACTTAAAACTTATCAGTTACTGGTGCACACGACTTCTTGTCATCTTTCACATCTTTCAGAGGATCATTTGTGTCAAAGGACCTGGGTGGACCCATGTTGACGTTGAGTTCCTATGACAAGCCTTTCTAAATATTTCTGTGAGCGTCGTCTGCTTCACCAGCTTTTGTTTATCAGCAATCTATCTTTAATTGAATAAGCTGACATAATTTCCTGCTCACTGATAAATTTGCGTTGTTCAAACCCAGTAATTAACTGGTCACACATTTCCACCAGATCGTCTATAGTTATTTTTTCACCAGTTTTCACAATGTCGTCGTCATTACTACCATTTTCCTTCTTTTCTGTATTTAATACCATGTTAATAATATCTCGTGTCGTGTTTGGGACACCGCAGGAACTTCGACGCCGCTACACCAGTCTCAGGGTCCACCTTTAGTTACATGCATTCCATGGAAAAATGTGCAGTTTTCAGAATGTTTCGAATTTTGGATGTGCGAATTAGGGATGGTGGGCCCTGTACTAGAAGTGAATAAATGACGCGTGTTTTAGAACGATGCCTATGAAGATATTTTTTTGGGAAAATTATTGCTCGTATAGACAACGCAATGCGTGGGGTAGCGAAACGCTTTTTGCCACGGAAATTGGAATCGTTGTGTCGTGTTCAAATTGTAACCGTGTCTGTTTCGTTTACTTCGCCCTAATGCTCTTGAAAAAGGCATGAATCCATCTTAAATCAGCTACAGATTAAAATAAACTGTTAGCATAGAACTTACGGTTTCTTATTTTAATAGTAATAAAAATAATCCTTATTATAAAATATACCCATTTATTTATTTGACACCACTGTGTAACTGATCTTAGGGAGAGATCCTAGGAGCATTTAACCCCACGCTCTCGAACGTAATATGGCATAGGGTCAAGTTTAAAGTAACAGTCTCACGCGTACATGAGCTTAGGATCAAAACTTGCTTAGTTCCTTTGGCATTTCCCCTTTGGTCACGCCTCAGTTGCCAGGAATCAGCTACAGATTAAAAGAAACTGTTAGCATAGAACTTACGGTTTCTTATTTTAATAGTAATAAAAATAATCCTTATTATAAAATATACCCATTTATTTATTTGACACCACACAAAGTTATGTATGAAATAGTTCTTGATAAATCTTATATCGAAACCACTTTTTCAATTTCGTCCTTTAGGACTTAATAGAATTAAATTTGTTATATTGGCACATGCACACGAACGAGGGATGCTGGGAATTTTAGATTTTTTTTTATTTAGCCGATTTCATTTAGATTCTTTTTCCTTTTGTTTTATAACCAAGAACTTTCCCGATAAAGATTATTCTTTGATAACGAGTGCGTTTACGAAACGACCTCTGTGAAATGACGACTACTTCAGTATTCGTAGTGATCTGTACTTCGCTATCGTCTCCCAAGACGGCCGGATATTAACTCAACACCAGATCAGCCCAATAGTTTTCTGTTGTGGTTCTGCTGCCAGTTTAAGTTAATCATAGTAGATATCTATAGATAAATACGAGAATCTAAAGAAAGTCGCTTAGTTACTAGCATAGTACCCGTAAAAATGATGGGTATATTTTTGGATGGATCGGTATATCTACCTAGGATGAAAGTGTCTTTCCTCTTCCCTCTTCCTCAAGAGAGGGGATAAGGCTTAATTCCTGGCAACTGAGGCGTGACCAAAGGGGAAATGCCAAAGGAACTAAGCAAGTTTTGATCCTAAGCTCATGTACGCGTGAGACTGTTACTTTAAACTTGACCCTATGCCATATTACGTTCGAGAGCGTGGGGTTAAATGCTCCTAGGATCTCTCCCTAAGATCAGTGTAATACTGCCTGACTTAGTATTTCAAGTTAATTTTAGGCTTGATTAAACGTGAATGTTGAATTCACAGAAGCCATCAATGAGGTCAATTTGGTCAAAGCAAGGGGATATTTTCAGGCTAATATGTTATGTTTTTTTCTGTACTTTATTGTTGTTTTATTGAGTCATGTTCATATTTTGATCAAGGAATTTATATTCGCTCGAGAACCACACGAAAGCTTTTTCAACGAAGTCGCTTAAATACAGATACTCTTTCGATGCACCAGCTTATACGTGATCTGGTGTCCGTTGGTGATTACGACCTTGTAGTACATACTGATTTCCAGTACTTTATGGATTTTCTTTCTGCAAAACGTTTAGTCTTACAATTAGCATAGCAAAAACAGAAGTTGTGTATCAAATAGTTCTTGATAAATCTTATATCGAAAACTCTTTTTCAATTTCGTCCTTTTAAAGAACTAAATTTGTTATATTGGCACATGCACACGGACGAGGGATGCTGGGAATTTTAGATTTTTTTTTTATTTAGCCGAGTTCATTTAGATTCTTTTTCCTTTTGTTTTATAACCATTATTATTAGATATCCCATGCTATGACAATAGAAGATCTGCAAGGAATGGTAAAATGTTGTAAGAGCCACGGCACAAAGTTATTGTAGATGACCTTGTAAACAAGACACTCTCTAGACATTTTCGTCTTAGTGAATTATTTCCTCCTTTGATCAGAGTAGCATTTTTTATGTCAAAATTGTGGTTCTTACAACATTTCACCATTTCTGGCAGATCTTTTACTATCAAAGTAGAATATTTAACAACAAAGTTGATGGAAACAAAAAGAAAAAGAATGTGAAAGAAATCGGTTAGAAAAAAAAAATTAAAATCTCCAGCATCCCTCGTTCATGACCATGTGTATTCGTACTAACATAATAAATTTTATTCGATTAATTTCCACTTTGTCATGCATTTATCATGTTATTGATTTATATATATATTTATATATATATATATATATATATATATTCGTTGTTGAAATAGACGCCCACATAATGATGTTTGAATAAAAATGTCGTATTAAAAATAAATCCTTTAATGCTTTAGAAAATTATATATATATATATATATTTCGATAGATAAAGGTTTATGCTTAGAGAATAAGTACAAATTCAGCAAATGAGAAAGTTTTCTATGAACATGGTAATTTCTCTATTAAAGCACTAAATGATAGTTGCTATAAAAGTCCAAAACTGAATTATATAAATAATGAACGTGGAAAGCATAGAAAAAAACAGAAGAAGAAAAATTCTCTGGTATACACCCTCATACAACCAAATGGTAAAAAACAAATTAGGACGAAAATTCCTTGCATTAATCGTTAAACATTTTCCTAAATACAGTAAACTCAGTACAATTTTTAATAAAAATACCCTAAAATTAAGTTAGAGTCGCACTGAAAACTTAGAAATGATTAACAATTAAGAAATGTAGAAGTATAATAAAAAGAGATGAAGATAAACAAAAATTATGTAAATGCAGAAATCCACAAAACTGTCCTCTTAATAATAAATGTCGCACTGAATCATTAGTGTATCAATGCAATATCTCATCTGTTGAGGAACCAAACAAGGTAAAAGTCTACATTGGATTCACAAGACATGAATTCAAAAAACGTTTTAACCATCACCAAAGTTCTTTTAGAATGAATAAATACCGAAATCAGATGTCCCTATCTAAATATTTCTGGCACTTAAAAGAAACCAATAAAGCACCTACTGTGAAATGGAAATTAATAAGAAAAGCTAGAATATGTATGTCCTTTGTGCATACATGAAAAACTATACATTACTAGGTTTATAAAAAAATAATTACTTAATCAAAGAAATGAAATAGCTATTCTTTGCCGACATTGTAAAAATTTTCCTTAAATGATGTTTAAAAAAAAAGCTGAAATGTGAAACATACATATTTATATTAGATATTTTAATAATAATTTTTAAATAATAAAGTAATTCTAATACATTTATTTGTTTTAAAAGAAGTATAATCTATTAAAAATTAGAATTAGAAATAATATTTTAAAATTGTATTTTAATACGACGTACTCATATTCAAACTACCCTTTTGGAAAAAATCTTTATGTATACAATCACAAATTTAACGGAAATAAAAGTGCCGAAAAACTTTTTGTCATTAAAAACCGGACGACATGAGAAAAACGGGTGTCATCACTTGTTGAATAGGGACGTCCATCCTACCTTAACTTAACCTCATTTCGAAAGTATTTTATATTTTGATGCAATAGTTGTCAGTGAAAATGAATACCCTACCACCCCTTGTTAAAATGATTGAATTTCCCCATCCTTAGAAATTAATATTAAGAATGTATGTGCTTATAAAACTCAGTAAATTTCAAAATAGGTTATTCCAAAATTCGCTTGAAAATGAAACAGTACTAGGGATTTTAATTTAATTCTATAATTAAATTTGAAGCTTTTAGTTTCTGTTTTTGAAACATGGTAATTCCTGTGTAGCGATGAAACCATATTTTTAAATTAGTAAATTTATAATATTTATGATCTGCAGAATTGTTTTGAGCACGGTTTTTTTTTAAATAAAAATAATTAATAAGAACACCAGATTATAAATCTTACAGTTCTTTCTCTTTATTTTTATATATATATATATATATATATATATATATATATATATATATATATATATATATATATTTGGTTGGATGATGTGAAACCCAGGGTCACAAACTCACATCTATCCAACTAAATATAAAAGCTCTATCTCTGATATTGAGCGCTTTCTAATAAGTACCGCGCATATAATATATAAATAATTATACATATATATATTTATTTATATTTATATACACTTTTTACATATATATATATATATATATATATATATATATATATATATATGAAGAAATATAGCTTTAAGGTGTGCTATATTTATGGGATAAAGTGCTCAATATCAGAGACAGAGCGTATGTAAATATAAAAGTGAACATTGAAGTCAACACTCAGAGGCGGCAGACTGTTTCATGCTAGACGCAATCTGGCGTGTCTAGAATGGATGAACGTAATAAAGGGCTTCTTGGTCGGGCTAAAAGTTCTCAGCATCCCCTTGTATATAATATATTCTTACCTGGTAGTGAACCGTTGATTGTATCCATGACGCAATGGGCTTGGACTGAGTTCCGTCTCTTTGGCCGGAAGTGTAAACATCTGTGTTTGCATGTTACTCTTTTTAGGAAGAAACGGAAACACTGCAAACTGCCATTAACTAGCGAAAAGAATAATCACAAAAGTACAATGATATTTTCTTCGTATTTCAGTGGTCAGGGTTTATTTACAAAGTGGATCGATTATTATCACTGTGGTTAGGCGAAAAACGGGATCACGGGCTGTAAAATTTTGTCTAGGTGAAAGCTGTTACGTGAAGTTATGAAATAGTTTTGCTATCTTTTTTTTTTTTTAGTTGGGTGGAGACATTTTCTTTTCACATTTTTTTGTTTTGTTCATTTCCCCTCACGCGATTTTTGTCCTGCCTGCCTAACTACTTGTCTCGATTCCACTGGCTAAGTCAGTGCAATAAGTACAGTGTAACTATCGCCAGGGTATCTTTAAGAAACAAGGTTGGCAGAAGATGGCGGAAACATTGCTACTTGAACTTAGCTATAGCAGACGGCGCCTCAGAATTGAACCAATTCGTGACAGCGAGGCCGAAATGGGCAATCGATTCAAATCAAATCAAATACTAAATGGAATCGATAAGATATCAATAGTATAGAGGGGACAACGGACGACGTGGAGGTTGACGGGAGGGAATCGTCTGGAAAGAAAGAATGGAGGAATAACGAAAAAAAAAAGGTCAAAAAATAAAAGAAGAGAGCATGAGAAATAGAAAGAGATAAAGAGGGAAAACATTTTCTGACATACGGGGATTGGAGGGAGAGAAGATTAGGAGCAAAAATCGAAATTGAGGCTAAAAGAGAAAAGAGTAAGAGTGTTTGGGCAAGTAGAAGAAAATATGTAAGACTGGAGGAGTTCAAAAAGCGGCACTAAGTCATCAGGAAAAAGTTCATATGTGAGTAGGGGGTGGTACAATGAAGTTTATCCTCGATTCAGTAATTGAGAGAAAGCCTTTTGTTTTTCGTAATAAACAGTTTTCTGCCTAGTTTTAAACAGAAAAAAAAGATTTTAAATGGAAAGAAAAAAGAACTTATATTTAACATCAGAAATAGACAGTTTCTTGTCACATAATGAGGAAAGAGAGCTTGGAAAATATGAGACGCACAGGACAGATTGAAAGCAAGGGACATAGGGAAAACCATGCATAACCTACCTCGTAAATGTATTGTGGAACAAGGTTTGGAAGAGATAACAGACAACATTTATTAAGAGCTAAATAGGATAGGAAATTGTGGAGAGTCATGATCATTCACTTAACTGAAGGAAAACTGCTAAGAGCTACACGAAATAGGAAGTTGTGGATGGCCATGATCGCCTAGGTTCTGAAGGTACGTATATGAAAATACACAAGATGAAATATAAAAAATACAAATCTAGCATTTAGGTAAATAGTATTTGGCAGTATTGCACAGATTATACAAAATGCAGGTATGTGAATAAATTTCAGTCTAATGAAATTCCTTTGGTAGAGATAAAATATAAGTGTTACATGTTGAATTAACAAATTAGGACATTTTTTTAAAAGCAACTCACCCCAAGCAAGGCGGGTGCACCACTAGCATGCAAGGGGTTACAGAGGATTGAGAACAAGAGTAAAGAGGCGTGTTTGAGGAAAGGATACAGTGAAGGGCAGGGAACAAGATCAAGGTATCAGATGTCGATTGACATTACACTTGAATATTTGAAGATTATAGTTATCAGGGAAGGAAGCAAGAGGAAGGGAGTTCCACAGACAGGAAGTGCGAGAGAATAAGTTGTGTGAGTAGAAGAGACTGTCACATTTAACCGTTTCGACAGTGAAAGGATGAGACGGAGATGCCAGCCTAGTAGCTCGCTTAAATTCATGTAGTCTGGAAACCAGCGAAAGTAGCTCATCGGAACAATTGCCGTGAAAATACTTGTAGAAGAGACAGAGGGACGCCACGGAACGTCTGTGAGAAAGCGACTTTAGACGAGATGCCAGATCAGGACCTATCGCATTGCATATTCGTCTAACAATGCATATAATTACTATGATCATTAGATTAATTTGTGTTCTTGGGTATGTCAGACCTTAAAGAGATGTGTATCTAAACGTGTATGCAGTGAATGCAGAAAACTATGGCTTTATATAGTCAGCGAAACTTGTTTCTCTTTGCTAAAAGTTGACAAATGAGGTGATAATGTTGCTGATGGTCTAAGTACTTGGACGTGATCCTAACGGTAAGCGTATTGTTTGGCGCTACTTTATAATCGGCCAGATAAAAAAAAATAAATTTCTTTTAAAATTTTCAATATGTTGTGTAAATGAATTACGCAACCTGCATACTTAAAATTTGATTGGAAATTGTCTTGTTCGTGAGCATCAATATAAGAATTTGAAAATTCTTCTTCCTAGTGTTATTTATAAAAATATAGCAAAATTGTTAGTAAAAATACTGATCAGAACATCTTTTGTTAAATTAGTATTTATTATTCACATTTTACTGGTTGTTTATTTCCGAAATCGGATAACGAAAAGTGTAGCCATACGACAAGGTGTTAATTTTGAATTTCACCTACATTTCCAAAGGTGACGTCTGTGTCAGATGAGGTTCTAAGTATACTGTACGAGAGTTCAAATATATTCGTAGGCAACTTCTAGCTACTGACATTACGGTCGTAGAATGCAAAACAACCTGATTATTTTGAAAGAAAGCAACAAAAATATTGAATTAATAAAAACTAGACAGCTGAGTGTATTAAAAATCAAATAAGATAATAAATGAAAAAAGTGAAAAGTAACGATTTAGAAAATAACAAAATATAAAGAATATTAGAAGAGAGAAGAAGAGTAAGGAAATTACAGAGGGTGAAATGGAAATAAATGAAACATCTCTATCTATAAAAGGCAGGATGTGTGTGTGTGTGTATGTAACGAATGCACGGTCGCAATTTTCGACGGATTTGCACCAAAATTTACATGCACATGCTCCAAGTTAGCATAAAGGCCAAGACCGACTTTGCATTTCCCAATTCCCATCGATAGTGGAAATAATCGATTTTTTCATACTTCTACGGCAGTTTTCATGTAGTTTGCGGCAATTTTCTACTGGCCAGAGTGGGAGTCTATAGCTGGCTGCCACGAATAGACAGGAAAATTCTATTGGCAAGCGTGAGAGCCAACAGCCGACTGACAAGAATGTTAACTAGCATACTAGCATGCAAAAAAAATAATCGATAGCTGCATTCGTTACAAGTGGGAAAAATTTAAATCTGCATGCCACTTTACTCCAATTGACTCATTCACTTGCTTAAACTCAACGGTGATTCTGATTCCGCAGAACTGGGTTAGGTGTGGAAAAGTATTTGTTGTTAACATTCTTTTTTCATTCGGTTTTTCCAGTTACCAGTCCTTTTTTAAAGCTGATCGTTTTGTGTTCATTTTGTTTAGTTCTTTTTTTGTAACAGATTTAATGTTTAGAATAAAGCTTAGAAAAATTCGCAGTGTGAGATAGGCAAGAAGTAAGGCATGTAGAAACATCAGCACGGCAAAGGGCATTCCTTTAAAGGCAAGGAAGGGCAAAAATATCTTAAGTCAAGTGATAGCGATTGCTGCATGAGACGTACGATTTTGAATCAAGCACAGACAACGCCGGGCCATGCTGCTAGTAATATCATAAAGTAAGAGAAACGGACATGAAATAATAAGAAAGAAAGAAAGAAAGAACGAAAGAAAGAAGGGGAAAACGAACAGAAAGAGAAGATAAAGAAAAGGAAAAAAATGACAGAAGGAAAACAAGAAGAAAAATGAAGTAAACCAGGAAAAAATGAAAAAGTGTCCATGGAAAGAAAGTGGGAACAAAAAGAAAAGAAAGAAAATAAAAGAGAATAGAAAGAAAATGAAAAAAGAACAAAAAAATAAATAGAAAGGGAAAGAATATGATAAAAAATGAAAAAAGAAGAAAAAAAGAAAGAAAAAGCAAGTGAAAAATAGTAGAAAGAAAATGTAAAGAGAAAGAAAGAAGAGGAAAAATAAAAATAAAACAAAGAAAATGACATAAACAGCGAGAAAAACGAAATAAAATTAATAAAAACCCAATAGTTTAATTTTTCGTTCTCCTTTTCTCCCTTTTATGGTCTCATGCTGAAAATTACTCGACCCGATGGAAAGAAATGAAGGAAGAAAGAAAAACAAGTGAGAAAGAAAAGGAAAAGAGAAGAAATAAATAAAAAGAGAAAACAGAAATAGTAGGATAAAGAAAATATAAGAAAAAAGGAAAAAATTCTGGACGAAAGAGGAAAATAGAGATAAAAAAAATCGATTTATTTTTTACGGCTTTGCAGGTTATTTAAAGCTAGAAAATATTTTTAGATTGTAAGAATTTTTTCGAGATAACAATGATTTACTCTCACAGATTCTACTAATGTTGTAACCTAGAAAACGTTACTGAATGTGGAATAACCAAAACGGAGGTTGGAAATTGTTATACCTGACATACCTATTCTATTATTAATAGACTCTCCCACACATAAGTAGTAGTAGTAGCGGTCGCCAGTTAGGCTCAGTGGTGTTGAGTGAGTCTGTCGGACATTGAAGTATCAACCATCACAACTAGATTGCTGCGTCATTAACTCTTATTTCAAGTTCCTAACGTTTTTTTCGTCGAACCTAATTTAAGACGACTTATTGAAATACAAGCCTCCACTGTGAAAACTACTCTACAACAGAAACGAAATTGTAATCTTTATAACATCAACAATACTCGCCAACGGCATGAATTAGGTAAACCACTGCTAGTGGTGGACTACTTAGACAGCATATTACCCCCACTTACAATAGTGTCCAACGTATTTATGAGGATTGAGATGTACCCATAGTGTTCATAGGTACGGTATATAACAACTAATTAACCTATATCTGATGGAGAGGAGGTGGATGCATACCTTTTGCAAGGGTGTCTGTGCGTAAATTGTTATAACGAACCCGACTGGAATTGGAAATTGGTTCTCCGATCTCCAATTTCAGACCATTGCCCATTACACTACCCGAACCCCCAAGCTTGAAGCACCTGATATTCCAGAACTATCATCCATCTATGTAGTGACCAGGCTCGACGTTGCTTAACTTCGGTGTTTCAACGTGATATGGCCTTAAGCCACTAGATGAAAAAGAGGCAAGAGACTCAGTGTTGGGTACGTGAAGGAGATGCGCGATTTTATTTTTAATAAAAAGAAAAGGAAGATAAAATGAAAAGATGGCTGAATCGAAAATTTCATTATTTGAGAAGGTCGCTGTACTCTTATGTAGCGTACAATGTCAGAATACATTTTAAGCCAAATATCTCCGATCTTGCAGCTACATGTAGAACTTCCTCTTCTGAAAAGGGGTGAAAAATATTCATCAAGACTAAAAAAAAAATACCTGTCAAAATAATAACGATAATAATTAGAAAATTTTTTAAAAAATTAATTAAAAAAAAAAAACAGATAGTAGCTTTTCCGTGATAAATCCGTCTATTTGCCACTTTCTCCCTCCCTTATGCTGATGCTGAAAAATCAGGCTAAGAAGTTTTTCAATAAAAAAGAAAAGAAAGCTGATAACTTCTTAACATCCTCATGTATCACTGCCACTGAGAATGCAGAACTGTTGGATGCCGCCAAAAGCAACAACAGTTTTTGATTTGGCTAACGTGGTATCGGAATAGCTGACATCGTGTACGCATTTTAGAAGGCAGTACTTATTATTGAACTCACGACTCAATAGCAACGATCCTTCCGACTAGCTAACTATTACCTCACGCCGAAGTGCCTATGAAGTGATGGTAGTTGATTGTATCATCTTTGACCGATCATTTAGCCGGAGTTCAAATTGAGTTCAGCAGGTTTGCACGAAGCCAAGTTGAGTTCACAAGGTTGTGAACTCAGGTCACCTGGTTGTAATTGGCTGGTAAGATATTGGCGTGAATGGCTGTCTCGTTCTGACTCGAGATGCCGCATTAGGCTGTGCGGCGGAATAACATCACTGAGCTTGTAAAACAATATAGAAATTAGAATACGAACCAAGGAATAACAAAAACAAAAACGAAAGATTTATTATTACTTGAATAGAGTGCTGAAATAAAGAAAGGTAAGGCTGTGAAGGAAGACGATCGCTACAAAGCGTATCGACATGCAATCAAATTGTTGCATTAATATAATGCAACAATTATAAATGAGAATAGCGTTATTATATATAATTAATTATTTAATTTAATATAGTTAATTATATATAATAACGCTATTTATACACGTGGTTGCTAGATACACTTCCTCAAGTCGAACCAATACATACATACATATATATATATATATATATATATATATATATTTATATTAGTTGTTTTATATAATCGGTAAATTTACCAAAGTTCATATATATTTTTATTTTAGATTATTTTTTCTCGAATACTTTCAAAAGTTGCTACATTCATTTTCAATGATTGTGTTTGTGTATGTTTACGGAATTATCCAGAAACACTTACCTAAACACAATCCGTTACGATAACTGTAGCACATTAGAAAGTACTCGGGAAATACCCCCCACACACACACACACATATATATATATATATATATATTATATATGTATATATTGATGTGGATAAGAATTATTATTGTAATCCGTTACGATAACTGCAGTAACATTAGAAAGTACTCGGGAAATGCACACACACACACACACACACACACACACACACACACACACACACACATATATATATATATATATATATATTGATGTGGATAAGAATTATTCACCCCCACTTCCACAATTAAAAATAAAGCTGTAATACCTCAAATTTTCCTGGATACTTCATGTGCATTTTTTCACAAATGATAAAATAATGGAATTTGTAGTGATGCCCACAACAAACTTTTTATTTTTATGTCAAACAATAATACAGAAACAACAAAATACATTTAAGATAAGAAAAAATTATTTGTCCTTTTGCCTCAATAATCAATTATGTAAACTTTATTCTTAATTATTACCTTTAATTGTTTTTGATAGTTCCATACAAAATCACTACCCACACTGATAGATATTTTGCTCCATTTTCCTTGCAATAACTTCTAGTTCCTCCAAATTCGAAGAACATTTTTCTCTTACGTTTTTCTTCAAAGATGTCCATAAATTTTCAAAGGGGTTCAGGTTGGGACTTTGTGCGGGGTACGCCATTACCTTAATTTTGCTGTCAAGTATTTTGTAACAATTTATGCCGTGTGTTTCAGGTCATTGTCATGTTGGAACATCCATTGACGCCCTAAAACAGCATTCGTACACTTTGTTTTATATTATTTTAAAACAAAGCCAAATACCGCTGTTTATCCCTGATACCCTGTACTCTAATTCGTTCTGCTCCAGAAGCAGCAAAACATTCCCAGAGTAGAATGCTCCCACCACAGTGCTTAATTGTAGGGAGGGTATTTTTTGGTTTGTGGGGTTCATTTACTTTCATCCATACAAAATGGAAGTTCATGTGACGAAATAATTCTAGTTTGATTTCATCTAACCATAAAAGTTCCAATATTTACTCCCATATTCTAGGTGGCTTCTAGCATAAGCTAATCTGCATTTTATGTGTTTAGCCTTAAACAAGGAAGTTTTTCTTGGGCAACAAGCTCAAAGTCCTGCTCGATGAAAGCATATAGTGACTGCCTTCGTTACATCATTGACAATATCCTTTATCGTTAAGTGAGAATTCTTCGAGGCATCTCTAAGAATTTTTCTTTCCATTCTCTCAGAAATTAACTATTTTCTGCCAGTCCTTAATTTATTCTCAACACAATGAGTTTCGTTGTATCTCTTGATAATACTACGAATTGTCGATCTAGGAACATTTAAACGCTTGGAAAGTGTTGTATATCCATAAGTTTGTTTGCGTGCATCAACTACCTTCATTCGGAGCTTCTTGTCAAATTCGGCCGTCTTCATTATGGTTGCAGAACGAATGAGATCTCGTGGTACGTAGAACTCACGTATTGTCTTCTTCATTACCTTTTAGAATGTTATAGAACCAAGTCAATATAAGTTCTTTTTCAAAGGGTGTTTGTATTAAATGTCAAATTAAGAAAAGAACATTACAATTGCCATAGAGAAATATTATTTCATAATTTCCATAAGGGGGGGCGAATAATTTTGGACTGTACCAATTTTTAGAAAAATCTATAACTATGAATATATAATACATGGAAACTTCTAAAAATTTCACGAATTATTCAAAACTAAATACGGATTCAACTATTTATGGTAAATTCAGTAAGTACTTTCAAATATTCAGTGGGGGTAAAAATTCTGTCCATAATTGTATATATGAAGATCCAAGAGAAACTGTTATGGATTCCGGGATGAAATCCGGCCTCAAATGAATGACAAACGCTGGAATGAAATATAGCAAATAAATGTATTGACGTAATAATACAATTGGTAATACGGTTAGTAGATCCAGAAATGCGGTTAGTAGCAATAATAATATATATATACAGTCTGGGAAATTCAGTATCGAAGTAGGACTTCCTTCTGAGTCTACGTGCTCGCAACTGTGACTCCTACAAAGCGGTTACCTCACACTCTCACTGTATCACCCTCTCACTTCCGGGTATTCACCGGCAGCAGTACAAGTACACACTGGACGAGTCCACTTGTATAAAAAGGGGTGGACCTCATAACAGAAACCTTGAAAAATATTCTTATATTGGAATAACAGAATGTCCCTAGAAACAGATAAACTACTCACAGGAAAAATCATGCAACAACAAAAAAAAAATATGCAAAGAGTGTAAGCCCCTCAAAGTATATCTTGAAACGCAAAAGAACATCGTCTGCTTACAACAACTCAAAACGATATAAACTTTGCCGCCTGACTAATGCTATAGCATTGAATCATCTTTACAGAATAAGATAAACTTGCAAAAGATCAGTAGTAATTTTCAGGTGTAGACAGGAAGACAAACTACGTCACGACCAAAAAGATTCCTATGACCTAAATCTATTATATTTTATTTTAGATACCAAAGCT